TGGTGGCCTGGCTTCTGGGCCCCAGTGACCACATGACCTTCTTCTCCTACAGAAGGCGAGACCATGGACACCTCCTGAGCGGATGCCCCCTCCCCCGCCTCCCCGTTTTCTACCAGAGTTCTGACACTGTGACTTTGTATAAAATGTTCTGAAACTGGACCCTTCATGTGTGTATGGTGTGTGCTCACGTGCATGCGCGCCCTGAGCCCAAAGAAAGGCAGCCCCGGGCGCGGTGTGAGAAGCCTTTATTCGAGGAGAGGAGCAGCTGCTGGCTCCGGGGGTGGGGGTGGGGATGGGCATGGGAGGGTGAGGTTGGGGGGATCCTTAGAGGAAGAGGAGGTCTGGGAGCGGGGGGTGGTCACAGGCCAAGGGTTGGGCTCTGGGACCCCCACAGTCGGAGCTGCTGAGGCGGCAGGGCCCACAGCGACAGCTGAGGGCCACAGGGAAGGAGACCATCGGGTCCACACCAGGCGGGCAGCCGGGGAGCCGGATGGAGGCAAAGCTCAGCTCACGGTAGGTGCACACCGGCTGGGGCACAGGCGGCAGAGGGGCCGGCAGCACCCGCACCTGGAGGCAGCGCAGAGGGGGAGTGGCATTGGCGTCTGCCCAGGGCCAAGCCCTCCCCTGACCTCCCCTCTGCCCCCCACAAACCCAAGACTCGGGTAGCCAGGGGACCCTCTGTACTCTCCCTCCCACATGCCCAGCTCTGACTCCAACTCCCCAGCCCCTACCCAGGGGCGGGGCGGCCGCCCTCCCGCCCTCTGCCCCATGTCTTCTGTGGGCCAGGCCTGAGCGGTCCACCTGGCGCTCAGGTGGCAGCACCGTCCAGACGGCAGAACCGGTCCCCTCCAGGCCGGCAGCTCACCATGCTGGGGCAGTAGCCGGCACAGATGCTGGTGGTGAAGGTGATGCAGACCGGACAGGCCTCGTTCTCGGCAGCCAGCGTGGCATTGACGGGCCGGCACAGTGGCCGCAGTGGCCCCCTGGATGCCCGCACCCCACCCACGCTCAGCAGCAGCCACAGCAGCAGCCCCTGGGACAAGGCCATTTCCTCAGGGCCAGCCCCAGACCTCTGCCCGGGCCCCTACCCTCCCGTTCCCCGCTTACACACATTCAGGGCCAGCCCCTCCACTCTGATCCCCACCCCGATACCCAGGGACCCCGGGACCCACCCTCAGACCCCGCCCCACTGCTGCCAGCAGGAAGCCCGCTGGCTGTCCACACCTTCTAGAAAGAGGCTGCCTTCACCCAGTCCCAGGACTCCCAGTCTTACCTGGAGCATCTCCATCCTGGGTGCCTCCCTACTGTGTTTACCTGGTCTTATACCTGTAGGCTGTGGGGGCGGCAAGGCCAGGGGGTGGTGGCATGGCGGGGTAACCTGGACACTAATCTCCCCAGGGGCGAGAGGCGGATAAGGTCAGGGATGTGCAGGAGTGGCGAAGGGAGCACCCCCTCCCCCATTCCCTGCGTGGCTTGGCACCCAGAAGCAGGGGACACCCAACATGACGGCTGACTTTACAGACTCAATCCTTAGGCGCTGGAGAGGTCGTGCGGGGGCAGGGAGAGGGGTAGGGAGCCCCTGGCTGTGCTGGCAGGTCTCTGCCCATCACGGGGGAGCCGAGGGAGGGGTCTGGAGCGCACCCCTCCAGCGACCCTGCAATGGTGGTGGACAGAGCCTCAGCCCTGCCCCACCTGCCATAGACTGAAAGCCAGAATCCGAACTCAGGAGGGGTTTGGCTACGTGTTGCCTCTGCGCTCGGGAAACGGGTCCGCCCGCTCCCAGACACCCCGCCGCAAGGATTCAGTGGGAGCGCCTTCTCCCCACACTCGGGCCCCCAGAAACCAGGATGCCAGAGCCCAACCCAGCAAAGAGCGACGTGTAGACTATTTCACGGTCATTGATTAAGAGAAGCTCTGCCCCTTCTGCCGCAGGGGCACGCCCCGCCCGCCGGCCCGCAGCCCGAAGTACATATTCCAGGCCCACTCCCGCCCCCACAGTCGGGTAGGTGTATGTGGGGTGCGCCCCGCCCACGGCCAGACTCTGTCCTGCCCCCCGCCTGGTGGGAGGGGT